CATCAACTACAACAACTCCTACTTCTTTCTCCCCAACACTCAAAACTCCGTTTCCAGTTTTCCACAATCATACCATCAGCTGCCTTATTCAAACCATCAAACAAACATAAAAACGCCTAAACTCTTTCCAGATCTAGACATCTTTCCTACCTCAATCAATCGACGGCGAGGATCGTCCCTCCAGAAGCTTCGATCCTTCTCTGCGCCTCCGCAAGCCGATCGGAAAGCATCTTAATCCGGCGATTGTATTCACTTGCTTGCTCGATCGCCTCCGCCTCGAGTTCTCCAAGCTGCGCGCAGAGCCTCTCCTCCGCTTCCTCAGCCGCCGCTAGCCTCTCCTTTGTCCTCTCCAGCTCTCGTCTCATCTCCGCTTCTCTGCTTTTCCTGTCTCCCAACTCTCTCTCCAGCTCAAGGTTTCTCCGCCGGAGCTCCTCTGCCTCCGCAACCTGAGCGGCCGAAGCCGCCCGCTGGAACCCTAATCCCAGCTTTCCCGCCACTGGATTGGGGATAGCGATTCCGATTGCGGGAGCCATGTTCCGTCTCTCTCGCTCTCTCCGTGTATATCTTGCTTGAATCCTTTATTGCTTGTGAATTTGGGATCTGGTTCTACAGGTTTTATAGCGGAGGGAAAAAGAGCATAAAAGCGTCCAAGTTCAATGAACCGGAGGACAGGGCCACAACGCCGTAGCAGCTAATTATTTTTTGAAAATGTGGGCCATGCAGCTGTTGAATAGCGGTTAAAGAGTGCAAGCAACCGTTGGCGGCATATGGAAAGAAATTTGTTCAAAATGTTAACCCTAAACAACAAAATAAAAGCACCACTATCCTAATAGATGTGGATACGTATAAATTTAGTGGTATTGTGGTGATATTATGATAAAATAACACCATGATAACATCAAATACCACCAATCTGCATGTGCAGGGTTCGCATGTAATATTTGCTCCCAAAGTAAGGCCTAAGATGAGAATGAACAAAAAATACAATTTAGCCAAACTTTGGCCAAAAGAAAAGAAATAGAACAAAGTGATCCTTGCCAAGGAACTCAACAACAATTCAGCCTGACATCATAAACTCAAAACAAAATAGTTAAGCGTCAAAATGAAGTCCAAGTACGTCATTGAAGCGTCAAAATGAAGTCCAAGTACGTCATTGAAAAACCAACAACAAACAAAAAAAATACAGAATCTCAAAAAATCAATTCAATTCCATAGAAAGAATAAGACCGAAGGATAAAAGCACTCACAACATGCTAGAAATTATAAAAGTCTTCAATATAATTAGAGATACCATTCTTAAATTTTCACTTTCTGCTTTTCAGCTTAACCAACCCATGAATATTTCTGATAATAGCATGACAAGGGGCATGTGAATTATTGAAAATTCTATAGTTTCTTTAAGCCTAAATATGAGCAAAAATAAATTATATATGATGAAATATAACAACAAAATAAAAGCACAAATATCCTAAGAATAAATAAAAGAAAGGAAAACAACAAATAGAACACTATATGAATTTCCTACCTAGAGTTGCCTCAAATTCAAGCTATCCAGCTCTCTAAAAAAATTAGAAAGCAAAAATTTCTTGAGCCAATTATCAGATATCACCAAAATTTGAAAAAATATTACGTGCAAATAAAATAGGTGTGGATAGATATGAATTTGGTGGTATTGTGATAAAATACCACCACAATACCACCAAATACCACTAATCTTCATGTGCAAAGTTCGCATGTAATATTTGCTCCCAAAGTAAGGTTTGAGATGAGAATGAACAGAAAAAAATAATCTAGCCAAATTTTAGCCAAAAGAAAATAGATAGAGCAAAGTGATCCTTGCCAAAGAACTCAACAGCAATTCAACCTGAGATCATAAACTCAAAATAAAAAAGAAAAGAAATAGAACAAAGTGATCCTTGCCAAAGAACTCGACAACAATTCAACCTGAGATCATAAACTCAAAATAAAAAAAAAAAGATATCTATGAAAAGAGTTGAGAAAATGATAAATAAAGAGAAGAAAGAGATATATGAAAAAAGAAACAAAACAAGAACAATAAAAAAATCAAGATTTTCATGGAAAGATTATCCCTTCAAAAATGCTGATAAAACAAAAAAAAAACTATAGAGGAATAAAAGATTGATCCTGAAAGCCAAAAACAAAATTATCCATTGAATAAGGTAGAAAAAAAATCAAAAGATAGAACTACCAAATTACAATGGATAGAATAAAAGGAAGATCCTGAAAACCAAAGAAGAGAAATAAGATAGATACTAACAAAAAATAATAAAAAAGAACATAAAGTTGAAATAACCAACAAGCTCAAGAAAAACCTGGATCACAAATGTAGAAACAATGGAAGCACCAAATAAGAATTAAAATTAAAATATATGTTTATGAAACAAAAGCAACAAGAAAAAAAAAAAGAGAAAAAAATCCCAAAAATAGTTGATTTTTAAACAAAATTCAATGCTCAATTGAAAACTAACAACAGTTAATGTACATAAGTAGCCAATAGCCATCCAAAACAAATGGAAAAAGAAAAATTATAAATTGTACAACAATAGCCAACAACTATCCAAAAAGGATGAAAATAAGAAACAACTAGCTCGGAAAAAACCTAGGCAACAAAGTGAGACTCCATCTAGTTTTACAGAAACAATTAAAATTTCAACCTACTATATTACAGTTGAATGTTAATATCAAATAAAAAGATTCCCTCCAAGTATAAGGAAAAAGGGTGCAGATAACAGAAATATAGAGAATTATACCAAAAAATGGACGAGTCTCATAATGAAGTCCATGCATATCAAAAAACTTAGACAATAAAAAGAGACTCGATCTACGTCTTTAGAGCAACAAACATAGTGCCCATCTAGCCTTATAGTGAAAATAGCCTTCTATAATATTGATAAATCAAAATATCTCCCTTCAAGTATAATAAAAAATGTATAAATTAAAGAATTAAGACATAAAAGAATACAGAGAATAATTCTTATAAAATAGTTGAGTGTTAAAATGAAGTCTAAGCACATCATATCAAAATCAACAATGAACAAAAAATATAGAATATAAGAAAATCAATTTAATTCTATCGAAGGAAAAAGAGCAAAGGATAAAAGCACTCATAAAATGTTATAGATTGTAAAAGTCCTTAATATAATTAGAGATATGATGCAGCAATTTTGTGGTGCGTTGCAAATATCTTTCAATATTACAGTATACACACGACAGTATAAATAGTAAATATGCAGTTCAATCTCAATAAAAATAAATTCACTATAAATAATTTTATTTTTTAATTTTATTATAATTTTATTTTTTAAAATCTCTAAGCTGTCAAACCGTAATAATAACACAAGTATACATATCGCTCAAGTAATAAAGAGCTTTAATGGAGTCGTAAGTATCGATCCCACAGAGAGTTAGAAATTCTTACGGCTATAACGTCAACAAAATATTCAAACTATACAACTTAAGTACACAAAATAAATCTAAAGTAAATTTACTGTGCGCTAAATAAAATGTAGTTAAAAAAACTAAGTTAACTAAATTATTTTCTTAACTTCAAAAGTAAACTTATAATGACTAAACAAAATTTTGTAATAAAGAGTTCAAATTTAAGAAAGTATCCTTCCCCTTTACGATGAGTTCATGGATTGTGAAGTAATTAAAATCATTTAAAATACATATAAAATTGTATTGTGCTAAGTAGCAGCAATCATATTCTTTACCCTCTGAGAGTGCATAAAAAACATTGACTAATCCAGAGTTTGGTCTCTAAATTTGTGGTTAGGTTGAGAGAATATTGGATGTCACTCTAAAGCTTCTACTTCTCCCTCCCCTAAGGGCTAAAAATCTCGCTTTAGTTTCCAAGTAAGTGGACTTTCCAAGTAACTGGACTAAATTGTGGATTTTAATCTGTCACATTAAAATCTCAAATTATGCACCTGTTAAAGTATATTACACTATTTATTTGCACGCAACCCTATGAACTACATTCTCACATATGAAATTGAATGTAACTCTTACCTTATTGTAGAAGGCAGAGCCTTATCAAATCTTATTTTTCTCAACAAATTTTAACATTTCAACTAGCCAGATCAAAAAGTAAATGAATATCAGAGTTCAAATCATCACAAATTATCAACATTTAAAAACTTACATAACAAAATTAGTTCTTCACAAAACCATATCTCATTGTAGGGGGAAGGGTAAAGAAGACTACTCAGAATTCATGAGAATGATATGACAAAACATATATTTTTTTTATATATAAAAACAAGTTTACAAAATAAAGAAAAAAAATAACACAACTTATTTAGGACTCCTTCTCAAGCAAATCCCTTAAAGTTCCCTTTAAGCACTTTCTCTCTTTACAATCACACTCAATTCTCTCTTAGAAATGTAATGAAGATGAAAGTTCTCACCTTTCCTCTCCTCTTACAGCTCTAGAAGAAAATCCTCTCTTCTCCCAAGTCTTCTCCCAAGACGGGTTTAATGGATATTGTTCATGCTTATCTATGTTAATGGATGTTTATGTCTGTGTTCTTATGACTTCATTATTTATTTATTTTTTTTGCATTAATCATGTTATGTAACTCTATTGTTTAATGTAATGGGTATGTAAGTTAGATGTGGTGTTATTATTGATTGTGTTGCATTTTTCTTTTAATATACATACATGTTCGTCTCTGCTATATTTCATTCTCTTTCTTGTTGTTTATTCACATGTATGGTGAGAGTAAGTTTGCGCGAAGAATATTTATATAAATTGTGCCCTAAAGTAAAAATATATATTTGAATCTTTAAATTCTAGTAAAAATGTTAAATCTAATTAGGTTTTAAGGTGATTGTGAAAGGTGATGAAAGTCGGTAAGGATAACATGAACCCTTAACTAAATATTGAAAAAACTAAAATAAAATTATCTTATATAAAAAGATTACTAAACATTTAGATTAGAGTTGACTACAAATAAAATTAACCCGTCAAATATATAGAATTTAATCACTAATTACTCCAAATAATTTATTTATTTGCTAATATCCATTAAACCTCAATATTTTGAATTATATTAGGATATAATTGAGACTTTAGCCTAAGAAAGAGCTGATATTCAATGTAATAATCCTCTACAAGAATTAAAGGGAAAAAAAGACAAAAGGATAATTTGAGAAAGCTTAAGTGACACCTATCCCTTAGGCAACCATGCATTGGTGATTCTTATATCTGAGAAGAGCTTATCTTAGGCAACCATGCATTGGTGATTCTTATATCTGAAACAAGCATAAAAATAAATCCAAGGAGTTGATCACATGAGATTTAGGGAAGCGTAACCTTAGCTGATGATTGGACATCTGAAGGTCCTCTTGCTAACATGCAAGAAGTTTTGTTGGATTGGAAACTAAAAGTTGTTGATTGCTGGGTGGAAGACCAATGGGATTATGTCAAATTACAAACTTGGGTTCAGATATACGAGCTAAGAAATATCTTCTTGGTTCTTTTTACCATACAGAAGAAAGATTCCTTTATCTTCTTTAAAAGCCCTAATGGGGAGTCTATTTCCAAAACTATCCAGTTAGCAC